GAGAAGCTGCTGGGCTCCCTGGACATTGACCACAACCAGTACAAGTTTGGCCACACCAAGGTGAGTCTAGAGCCCCACAGGGTGGCGTTGCAGGATGTGCGACCATGCTGAGTGGACCAGCTGGGAGTTTGGAAGGCAGACCCCTGATTCCTGGCTACCTGTATCAACCAAGGGCTGGAACCCAGGCTTCCATTCTGTCTTGTTTTTCACATTTCACTCCCAGGTCTAGGATGTGTGGGTATCAGGGCCCTGGGAAGCTGAGCCAGGGTCTCCCACACTCTCCCACCACCCTGACTACGCTTCTCTGAGGCTGTGGCCCCCTTGGCTCTACCCCTCACCCCCAGGTGTTCTTCAAGGCGGGGCTGCTGGGGCTGCTGGAGGAGATGCGGGACGAGAGGCTGAGCCGCATCATCACCCGCATCCAGGCACAAGCCCGGGGTCAGCTCATGCGCATTGAGTTCAAGAAGATCCTGGAGCGCAGGTGAGGCTGGAGGGAAAGAGAGAGGCACTCCCAGAGATGTAAGAGGCAGACAAGCAGAGCGAAGTGGCGTGGGTCAGGAGACCTAAATTCAAATCCTGGCTGCACCACTTACTAGCTAGCCTGAGCAAGTGACTTTGCCACTCTGGGTCTCATTTTGAATTCTTTAAAAAAGAAAATTCCCCTTAGGGAAATACAAATTAAGACTCCAATGAGATACCATTTTAAAACACCAGATTGACAAAAATCAAGAAGTCTGACCCACTGCTTATGGATGTGTAAATGTGTGCAATCTCTTTGGAAAACAGTGTATCATTTTCTTTTAAAGTTGAACAGTTACATACCTTTCCACTCCTGAGTGCACTCCCACAGAGAAACTCCTGCACGTGTTCAACATGAGACAAAAAAAGAATCTTTATAGTAGCATTGGTCAAAATAGCAAAGATGTGGAAACAACTTGAATTTTCATCCACAGGAGAATGGGTGAATAGTAGTATACTCATTCAGGGGAATATTATAAAGCAATGAAAAAGGAGGGAACTAAAACTACATGGTACAATATGTTTGCACCTTAAGAGCATATTGCTGAGTAAACAAAAGCAAGTCACAGAAGGATACTTATTGTGTGATGCAATTTTTATAAATCTCAGAAATAATTTTTAAAATAGCATATTGTTAAAAGATGCATACACACATGGTTAAAATATTTTTTGAAAAAGTTAGGAAACAAAAAATACAAGATTCGAGGTAGTGGCTGCTTCTGGTGGAAGGACCAGGAAAGGGGATGGGGTGGAGCCCACAGGCAGAATCAGCGATGGCAATGCTCTAGTTCTTGTTTGGGTGATGAGTTCATGGACAGTCATTTTGTTTCATGCTTCATAACTTACACATATATTATAGATATTCCTAAGTGGAAAATATCATCTTTTTAACATGCTTGAGGTTCTTCTCACCGAACACAGTAGACATTCTACAAGTGGTAGCTTCCATAGCTACTAATACTCCAGTAAGGAAGATATAAACTGCCCTTTTGTTGAATTGATCAATTAATAACTATTTATGGAGCAACTCCATGTTCAGTGTGGTTATGCTGAGGTGGGGTTGCCTATCAAGGCTACAAGACAGGGTTCCTACCGTCAGGTGCCTACAAACTTGCTTAGATGTGCTGGGAGCCGAGTGCTGCTGGCCCCATGATTGCGAAGCTCTCTTTTACAGTGCCCTTCCCTGCCTCCATGTTTCTTTGCCAGGGATGCCCTGCTGGTAATCCAGTGGAATATTCGGGCCTTCATGGGGGTCAAGAATTGGCCCTGGATGAAGCTCTACTTCAAGATCAAACCATTGCTGAAGAGCGCAGAGACAGAGAAGGAGATGGCCACCATGAAGGAGGAGTTTGGGCGCCTCAAAGAGACGCTGGAGAAATCGGAGGCTCGACGCAAGGAGCTGGAGGAGAAGATGGTGTCCCTGCTGCAGGAGAAGAACGACCTGCAGCTCCAAGTGCAGGCGGTGAGACCATTTCTCCTCTCCCCTCCCCTGGATTATAGCCCGTCTCATCACCAGGGACTGAGTCTCAGAGCTCTGGCTCTCTTTAAGACCCTGGATCTCTCCTCTCTGTCCTCTTCTCCCAGGAACAAGACAACCTGGCTGATGCGGAAGAGCGCTGCGACCAGCTGATCAAGAACAAGATCCAGCTGGAGGCCAAGGTGAAGGAGATGACCGAGAGGCTGGAGGACGAGGAGGAGATGAACGCCGAGCTCACGGCCAAGAAGCGCAAGCTGGAAGACGAGTGCTCTGAGCTCAAGAGGGACATTGATGACCTGGAGCTGACGCTGGCCAAGGTGGAGAAGGAGAAGCACGCCACAGAGAACAAGGTGAGGGCAGCTCCCTCTGGCTCCAGCCCAAGTCTCCTCAGGATTCCCAGACCTGAGTGTGGCCCCGGTCCTTGGCATTGGAGGTCTCCATAGATGTCTCCAGGTTGGTGACCTTTGACCCTAAAGGGGATGGGGTTCTTGGTCAACAGGTGAAGAACCTGACAGAGGAGATGGCTGGGCTGGACGAGATCATTGCCAAGCTGACCAAGGAGAAGAAAGCTCTGCAAGAGGCCCACCAACAGGCCCTGGATGACCTTCAGGCTGAGGAGGACAAGGTCAACACCCTGACCAAGGCCAAGGTCAAGTTGGAGCAGCAGGTGGATGATGTAAGTAGTAACAACCATGCTCCATCCCTCTCAGGTTGGGATTTTTCAGGCAACACCAATGGCCAAGGGGTTTCCAATCCCTAGAACTAACTTCCATGACCCCTGGGGCCCTTTTCTTTCTGCAGTTCCTCACTAGGCTGGGTCTCTAATCCTTCATGCTTGCAGGGCTAACTCTGCTGGTTTGACTTCCAATTCCATTGGACTTTGGGTTTAGAAGGGAGCCGAAGAGGATGCACTGTGGATCTCAGGTTTCCTACATCCTGTTCATTTTCTTTTCTCCACCAGCTGGAGGGATCCCTGGAGCAGGAGAAGAAGGTGCGCATGGACCTGGAGCGAGCCAAGCGGAAGCTGGAGGGTGACCTGAAGCTGACCCAGGAGAGCAACATGGACCTAGAGAACAACAAGCTGCAGCTGGAAGAAAAGCTCAAGAAGTAGGAGCCTGCGGCGTCCAGGAAGGGCTACTGAGGGTGTCTGACCTGAGGGTTAGAGTGCAAAGGTGCTGCAGCACCTCTGGCCAAGGCTGCTCTGGGCACACAGCCCCCGCCCCCCACCTTCACCCTCGGGGCCAGGGGGAGGGGACTGGTCCTCGCATGCCGAGGCAGGAGAGGATGGGCACAGAGAAAGGAAAACCACCTGTCACCCTCTTCTCCTCCAGGAAGGAGTCTGACATTAATCAGCTGAACAGTAAGATTGAGGGTGAGCAGGCACTGGCCCTTCAGCTGCAGAAGAAACTGAAGGAAAACCAGGTGACGTTCTTCTGGGTGTAGCCACCGGGAGCTCAATGGTGCTGAGGCAGCTGAGGCTGTAGGAGCTGCTTAGGGTTCTAGACAGCATCTAGAACTCCAAGCCGCCCGGAGGCCCCAGCAGCCCTGATTTACAGGCACTTGGGAACATCAGCCTTCCCCCATTAGAGCAATAGTGTCTTATTTCGGCAGGACTATCTGGGGGAGAGGGTGGGGATCATACTTACTAAAAGGGCTTCTCTTGCTGAGCTATGCTCCACCTCATGGGTTTTCTGCTCTGGGACAATTGGTAGGGCTCCGTTCTCCTCTAACCCTTACTTTTGGTGCTTCTCCCCACTTCACGGGGGTGAGAAGGGCCTTCATGGAGCACCTTGCCATGGGAAGCTCTGTTCTTATTCTTCCCAGGTATTTACCCTAGCCACTAACTCGGGCTGGATCCCCACAGAGCACCGTGATATGGAGTCAACTCCTGCAAACTTAAGCAAGTCACTCCCCGTCCTGAGCCTCAGATTCTCCTCTCATCTGTAAAATGGGACTGATGACCCCTGCCTTGCAGAGGACCAGAAGAGACATTGTATAGGAACCCACTTTGTCAACCAGGAGGCAACATATATATGTTATTTTAATGTAGCTCAGGCTAGAGAAGTGAGCCAGCCACTTGCAAGAAGATGTTCTTTTGTCTTTCGCATGGCTTTCTCATCCCTCTGCAGGAGGAGATTGAATTACCAGCCAGAGTCTCCCTTGCCTTTAATGCACCCTGAATTTTAATGTGCTTTTAGTCCCATGTTTGTCAGAAGAGCCCTGGAAGCAAGGAAGGCAGGTACTCTCGTTCCCATTTCATAGCTGCAGAAGCTATACGGCCACATCTGGACATAGTGACCCCAAGGCCACAGGGACTCAGCTATTTATCCTCTCATTTTCTCATGAGACCACTAGGGGAGAGAGCTGACCTCCCCTCAGCATTCAGGGTCGATGGCCCAGGGTGCAAGTGACACGTGAACACAATTCCCCTCCTCTGGGGGCTGCTCGGGGGCTGGTCTGCCTTCAGTGATACTCTTCCCTCCCACCTTCTTGGGTGCCCCTTCTGGGTTTTAGCCCGAATGTTAGGGCATCCCCAGGTTCTCCTACCCTGGTCTGGGCAACCTCTTTGACTGTTGAACCCAGAACAACTGTGCTGTTATCCTCACCAGGTCTTGGCAGTGGGCTGTGGCTCCTCCTTCTTCCTGCCCAAGCTCTTGCACTCAGTCCCCATTCTCCATCCTGGGAGCAGGGGTCTGGTGGTTCTCTCTCTCCTGCTCCCAGGACCCCCTCACACAATTGCATCAACACCATCCATAACCACAGATGAAGGGATCCCACCAATCCTCCCCTTTGCTCCTTGCTAGTCAGACAACACATCAAAATTGTAAATGGGACATTCTGCCAATTTAGGCAGGCCAAGGCTAAGGCCAGAAAATAATGAGGTAGGGACATGATACAGAGGAGGGCACCCTGCTAGCACTCACCTGGCCTGGAAGGGAACAATTAAGCTGGAACCCAGCCCTGGGCATAAATAAAGTAAGCCCTGGAGAGTGAGGAATATGGTTGATTGGAGTTTGTGGTTAATTCGGAAGATTACAAAAGTTTTTGATTATTTGGAGGCGTACTGTTGCAAATATTTGTAAACTATAAGCACCAGCTTTCCTGCCTTATCATTAGCAGAGCAGAGCCTAGTGAATCTGTGGAATCTTTGAGACCCAGGACCTCACGGGATCTCAAGATCCCTCTCTGAAGACAGATTCTCAGGACTCAGGGCTGCAGGTGCTCAGACTGGGTCTGAGATGCCCCTCCAGGAAATGCCTTGAGAGTTTGGCTTCAACCAAATTCCCACTGACAGTCTGTGCATTATAGGATGTTTGGCAGCCTCCCTGGCCCCTGCCCACTAGATGCCAGTAGCAACACCCCCTCCCCAAGTCATGACAATCAAAAATGTCTACAGACCTCGTTGCCTGTCCCCTGGGGCACAGAATGTCCCCTGGTGAGAACCACTGCTCTGCAGGACCTGGGTGCTTTGGCCAGGAGCCTTCTAGAGCCCTGGGGAGGGGGCTGTGATGGAGGGGTCAGGCGGTGGGTCTGAGCCCCCTATACCCTGCCCAGGCGCGCATCGAGGAGCTGGAGGAAGAGCTGGAGGCCGAGCGCACTGCCCGGGCCAAGGTGGAGAAGCTGCGCTCAGACCTGTCCCGGGAGCTGGAGGAGATAAGTGAGCGGCTGGAGGAGGCTGGCGGGGCCACGTCCGTGCAGATCGAGATGAACAAGAAGCGCGAGGCTGAGTTTCAGAAGATGAGGCGGGACCTGGAGGAGGCCACGCTGCAGCACGAGGCCACGGCGGCTGCCCTGCGCAAGAAGCATGCCGACAGCGTGGCCGAGCTGGGCGAGCAGATCGACAACCTGCAGCGCGTGAAGCAGAAGCTGGAGAAGGAGAAGAGCGAGTTCAAGCTGGAGCTGGACGACGTCACCTCGAACATGGAGCAGATCATCAAGGCCAAGGTGGGCCTCTGCTCTCCTCTCCCCTCCTCCAATTCCCTCCACCTGCCTCCACTTTCTGTCCATGCCTCCTCTCTCTTCTTTGATGGTTCAGCTTCCTGCTTCCCTTCTTCGACCCAGTTCTTGGACCCTTTTGTTCCTCCATGCCTTTCTCTTCCCTTCTCCTTTAATTGCATCACTCACACCCCTTCAGCACCCCCTACATAGATCGTATGACTCCCCTTCCTGTCTCAGGCTAACCTGGAGAAGATGTGCCGGACCCTGGAGGACCAGATGAATGAGCACCGAAGCAAGGCCGAGGAGACCCAGCGTTCTGTCAACGACCTCACCAGCCAGCGGGCGAAGCTGCAGACCGAGAATGGTGAGCCCCACCCTAGTCTCCCAACTTCCTGAGCCACCCCAGGCTTGGGTGCACACACATATCTCTCCAGAGAATGGGACCTGAGGGTTAGGGGAGGGGTTGAGGGAGAGAGGACTGACTGACCTTTGAGAGTTGAGCGTGCCTCGGTGCCTCTCCAGGTGAGCTGTCCCGGCAACTGGATGAGAAGGAGGCGCTGATCTCCCAGCTGACCCGGGGCAAGCTCACCTATACCCAGCAGCTGGAGGACCTCAAGAGGCAGCTGGAGGAGGAGGTTAAGGTGAGGCCTGGACTCAGGGCACTTGGTCCAGCATACTGGCTGGCCTCGCATCCACATCACTTTCTTTCCTAAGAATGAGGCTTGCCATCTACCCAGTATTTTCCCATTTTCCAAAAGGGATAATAGCCCAGACTCTACCACGCACCTCCTTAATCTATTCCCCATGCGGAGGCCCTCTGTCTTTCTGCTGCTGTCTCTGGAGGGCATGAAGTAAGGGTGCCCAGGTCGGGGGAAGCGAGGTGAGGAAATAAACTAGGGAGGTGTGATGGCCTTCACTGGGTATAGGTATGGGATGCAGAAACTGTACAAGTGGTCCTGGGATTAGCAGAGCAAGCTGAAAACTGCAGAAAGAAACTCCACTGGTTCCTGAAATTCTTAGCACTTTGCTGGGCTCATGAAAAAGGGAAACGACTATGACTTTTTAAAAAGGCCAGGTCTCAAATCCTAACCTGCCTCTTAGAGCTTGGTGACCTTGGGGAAATCAACTAACCTCTGTGAGCCTCCATCTCCTTCCCTGTAAAACAGGAGTGAGGATGGTAACGCCTGCTGCAGTGAGGAGCACGGGGGGACGGGCAGGAAGCATTTTGTAAATAGTGCAGTGCTGTACGGACTTTCTTTGCTTATAGTACTTAGTAAACCATTCCAGGTCCACTAGGGATTTAGAGATAGGTGAGGCCATGCGAGGATGCTGAAATTTAGGGTGAGGAGATGGGCAGGAACTGGAGTTACATCACAGGGAAAGCTGAGCCCGCCTCCCGGTGCCGCCCCTCCCAGGCAAAGAACGCCCTGGCCCACGCGCTACAGTCAGCCCGGCACGACTGTGACCTGCTGCGGGAGCAATACGAGGAGGAGACGGAGGCCAAGGCCGAGCTGCAGCGTGTCCTGTCCAAGGCCAACTCGGAGGTGGCCCAGTGGAGGACCAAGTATGAGACGGACGCCATCCAGAGGACCGAGGAGCTGGAGGAGGCCAAGTGAGTCCCGGGCGGCCTGCCTCTGGCTGAGGCCCCTGTGAGGGTAGGATGCAGCCCAGCCCACTCCTTAGTGGGTCCGGCACAGGGGATGGATGCTTAGCTGTGTTTTGACCACACAGAAGACCCTGCCCTGGCCCCACCTCCTTCTCCTCTCAGGGAAGCTTTTTGCTCGCGTTATGTTTCTCATCCGAATATAAGACGAACAAAAGGTTTGTCTGAGGGCAGAGTGCTCCCACCTGGGGCAGGGTGCCATGGCAGGGGAGATGGGGGCGCTCAGAGCCCATGTATCCTCCGTGTCTGCAGCCTAGAGCCTAGGGATGCCTCGCAAAGGGCCCTCCGGGTGCTGTGGGTCTTCACACCTCCCAGAACCTCTGCCTGCCCCGTTCTCAGCCCCTGGGCATGTCCTCAGGTTTCTCCAACAACGCTTCTGAGTTTTCAAAGACTGTTTTCTACAAGCCTCACAATGTGTACCCTTGTCCAAATCCACACCCTCCATCCTCCCCACCCTCTCCCACCACTACCCCCCTTCCCCCAACACGGGCAGGAAGAAGCTGGCCCAGAGGCTGCAGGACGCCGAGGAGGCCG